AATAATTTGTCGTGAACGGGACCTTTACATCGTTCAGACCAAATTATAGTATTGACATATTACTATTATTACCGAGTAGCTCGGTTCCAGACGACCTAAGCCCATCGGTATTTCTCAAACTATAATTAATAAATAATTTTACAAATCCTCATCCGTCGACCGCAACTCACTTTCACTAAATTTGAGCATCATCGAATTGCAGTACGTGCACCCTATTACACAAATTTGACGTATATATTTATCATGTACCATATCGAAATTACTAATCAATTAATAAATAGTTAAATAACATACAAGCAACAAGCGAAATATATTAATATTATTCAAGCATTGAGTGAGAGTCGAACATGACGAGATAGAACTGTGCTACCGGAATTACCACTGAAGGTCTTTCAATGTTTATGTTTTCCATTTCTGTCGCTCATGCGAATTCCAGATACTATTATTCCTCTAACCGTTACAATCCGAACAGTTTCTCATCATGCTCGGCTTTACAAATAAATTCCTCAGAATTTCGGAATCTCTTGAATTGCTCACAGAATTTTACAATTTACAAATATATTCAATTTATTACCGACGTCGCCCTACGTTGGGCGCCAAATGAGACCGGCGTTATTTTTCTGACTACAAATGATGAAAAGCGCAGATCATTATTAGCTCTAGCAAAATAAAACGATGCTGGGTTTAAGAGCCCGGACACATAGAAAAACGTGAACAGTAAGCAAATCAACAGTCTTATATTGTATATGTTATTCCGTTACACCCCATTAATATTACCAAAATATTACTAGTTATACTAACATTGATCCAAGCGTGTTACGTAACAATTACACAATTTTTGTTACATAACTGTAACGCAAAAAAAAAATGTATAACAGTTATATTACCTGCATATAACAAATGTTAAATTGCATGTTTCTTTTATGTTATGTAGCCCTTATATATCACAAGAATAACATTGTGATATTACATGTAACTTCCATGTTATATTGCCGTTATGAAATGTGTTCACTGGGGGGGTTCGCGCAATCACGTCCCGGGGCGTGAGGCACCTGTATTAGGCCTTTGGGGCTTTTTGCGTGAGGCCCGCGTCTAGCCATTTTGGGACCATTCGCGAGACATCGCGAATGGGTATTCGGCCGTTGAAAAACCATCGCGCGTAGGTATTGTGTCTTGCGTTTGTGTAATCGCGTATGGTGTATTACGTTCATGTAACTGCGTCTTATCAGTTGCGTCCTTAGGCTAATTTCCGCGTTATTGTATCTCATAGTTTCCGCGTTGTAAAATTGTAATTCACCGATTCATTTTAAAGAAACCTGCCAATTTATTCTGAAGTAATCTTTTCTCTCAAATTGTCATTCACCGATTCAGTCTGAAACAACTTGCTGATTTATTCTGACGTAAGCTTTTCTGTCAAATACATTATATTTGTATTATTGTTATTTGCGTATGTTAACTGCGCTACGTTCCCTCTCCTCCTCCGACCGCGATTACCCGAAGAAACTCACACCTGAGAGAATTGCGATCTTGTGGATCGTGGTGCGAGGAATCGCACCTGGCGCCCAATATTTCGAGGAATTATTTAGTCGAGCTATCATCTGGGTTTCTGAGAGTCTTGTCGTGATTGATTTTTTTTAAGATCGTTAGTGAATAAAAGCGACGGCGCGCTTCTTCACGGCCGGTGAGACCGTGAGGACATCGTCGCTGTCGTCACAATATTAATGTAATAATGCTTCTTTCAGACAATCAAAAAGGCAAGGACGTGCCACGCAAAGGCAAATTAAAGCAATGGTAGAATATTTTGAACGGAATCCACATGTTGCCTCAGGAAAAACCACGCTACATGGTAATGAAAATTTGAGAGACAGCTGGGAGGAGTTAGCTCAAGATTTAAATATGTTATCAAATAAGAAAAAAGGAAAAGATGTAAAGTCCTGGAAGACTGTAAGTATGTGATATATTGATAGCATTTTTATATTTAAATAGTAATAAAGTTTTGTTATAGACATGGAGAGACATGAAATCAAAAGTTTCTGAAAAAGTACAAAAACTAAGAAAAGAAAGAAGAATGACAGGAAATAATCCAATAAATATTAAATTATCTGAATTAGACAAACGAATATTAGGAAATATAGGAAAAGACTATGTCGAAGGATTGTACAATGTACCTGACAGTTTTCCTGAAGAACGTACTGTAAGTGAACTAAAATAAACACATGCACTGCACCGAGGAGATTTTAGATTAGGAAAATGCTAATATTACATTGCTTTGTTTTTGTTATGTGACAAAGGTTTTGAATATGTTAATTTGTCTTTGGATAGAAAAGCTTCGTAGAGAAGTCTATAAAAATAGTCAATTATATCTTTGTCATATGAAAACAGAACGCTACAATTATAATGGATATGGTTGTTCATATTATATAAATATTTATGTTTAGACAAAATATATATATATTCATGTTTCGTAGAGAAGTCTATGTGAACGGGGATAGTTTCGCCCCGGAAGCAAGATTTGCGATATTGTTACTCGAAGGACCAGAGGGGGGTTGTTGATTTCCCTTCACGACTATCAAATGTTTAACGCAAAGGCAGAAGCGCACGCAGCGAAATATTAAAGCGAAGCGACTCATTGTGTCGGCCGTCGTCTCCGTGATTCCGCCAGGCCTCGTCCTGTCCTCTGAACTCTGACCGCTCCGTGGGTCTCGTCTCGTTCGGCATGCGACGGCAAAGCCCGTGCAAGCAAGCAAGCGGTGGAGAGCAAGCAATAGAGCAGGAAGAAAAGAAAGCAGTAGGAGACGTGCGCACTCCCGGTTGAGCGAGGCGGCAAAGCGATTCCGTGGTTCGTTCTGCCCGGCGAATGTGTGCCGTAAGACGGCTCCCAAAATATGTGTTTGCCGTAAGACGGCTGGCCAAAATATGTGTGTGTGCCGCACGGCGGTTTGACGAAGAGTTTCTGTCCCCGCGGTCCTGGAACATGTCGCTGCGGGCGAGTAGTTGTTCCCTTTCCGGGGGGGGGGGGGTGGATGCCGTCGGCGGATGGGCGATGGCAGCACCGACAAGTGAGTCGCATGACTTGACTGCTCGTGATCCGCCGACGTTTCGCGCGAGAATTACAAATGACTTATGCAACTAAGGCTGGGTTCGGGGAGCGCGCTTTTAGCGCTATGAGCGTGCTCTGTCCTTGTTCAACTTTCAGTAAGTAACAGAGACAGAATGACGTTGTCAGCGCTAATAGCGTCTCCCCGAACGCAGCCTAAGTATGAATTATATACGACTACATGAACATAAAGTGACTGTACTAACGACTACACTGTATACAAGGCGATACGCCGAACACTATGAAAATAGTCAATTAAATCTTTGTCATATGAAAACAGAACGCTACAATTATAATGGATATGGTTGTTCATATTATATAAATATTTATGTTTAGACAAAATATATATATTCATGTTTCGGTTTGCTTGGTTCGCTAGCCCCTTTTATGAAATTATTTATAATATGCGAACATGACAAACTAATTGTTTATATTTACGCGGGCGACATATAGCGTCTTACGTGTATTAACCTGTTATTGCGATAAATATTATCACATGCCTTGGTGGTCGAATTGGTACGACGCCCTACACGGAATGAGGGAAGTTCCAGGTTCGAATCCTGGCTGAGGTAATATTTTTCGCAATAATTTCTTTACAGTTTTTAGAGAATTAAATCGTTCGAGTCAATTCCGGGGAGGGAAGGGTTTTAATGTTCCAATGATAGCTGGGTTCAGTCCGACATTTATCGGCTCGCAGTTATTGGAATATTATATGTTTATTCGTCGATTTTTAACGATAGCTGGATTCAGTCCGACATTTATCGGCTCGCAGTTATTGAAATATTATTCGTCGATTGTAAGATATAATTATAAAGCACTACGAACGAGCTTGGTTCGCTAGCCCCTTTCATGAAAACATTTAGTATTGTTCGTAACTTTTTAATGCATGGTATCTGAGATTTGTTGATTATAATTTCAAAGGTAACCGTTGACTCCAGTACCCAATATTATAATATATTATGTATATTAATAATTATACACTACAATGCATAAAAGATTGAAATATGCTAAACTGAAACTATGTAGTGTTAGTTTTTTTTTTACAATGTTTTAAGGCATGGAATCTAACTACATAAGAATAATTAATCTTTTTTTATAAATTATTTCAACGTTTGTTAATAGAATTATGTTTTGTTTTAAACAAAGCAGAACGGAGTTCTGCTTTCCAAACCTGAAGACTGTAGAAAATAAGTCCTGTTTTGTTTTATTCTAGTTTTAATTAAGGTTTATTTTTTTGTTGTAATATTGTACAATAAAAGCCTTATTTAGTGGATGAGTAAAGTATTGAATCTTTCTTTCAATCCTTCTAATATAATTCTAAAAATGAAAAAAAATGTAATGGATTGATTATTAATAATCCAATTTTATTTTCTTAATTAGGTCAAACAATGTATATTAACGAAACGCGGATATGTAAAGACCCTTATGTAAAATCTTAGCAATATAACAATAAATCAATTTAGTAAGCTATAGATAATAACAAATATAGTAAACAAATACATTTACTTGTATAGAATAAAGAATATAAGTTTAATGTAGACAATGTAGACATCCGTATATAAATAAGGTGTATAAAAAATATTAACATAAGAAAACAAGAAATAATAAATTGTTATTATGTTTTGTATCCTGTTTAATACATTATGTATGTGAAAGTAATAAGCCCAAGCTAGAGGCAGGAAAAAGGTGTAAAGAGCAAAAATGTTTTCATCGCTAATATAATTGTGATCTACGTTCAACGTCTGCGCTTTACTTTGCGTAATATGTTACTTAATTTTCAATATGCTTAATATTTATCATTTTTGGAGCATGTACGAACAACAAGGGAAGATTTATGCAGCAATACGTTTCAAAGAACTCCATAAAGTTACACAAAATTCTAGTAAGCGGATACAATCTTTGCTTAAAAGCATCTAACCCTTGCAAATAGATTTATCAATTTTTGTCGATGATTGATCAATTGCTTTTGTGAACTGCAGGTGATTCTGGTTGCCTTTTTTGTACCTGAAATATACAGTAATGAGCACACAGTATAATACATTTATCAAACGTATCAAGACAAATCTGATATAATAAACCACAAACATAATTCGATTAAATGGACTATTGTCATCTAATTTTAACAGACTTGTAAAAGAGAGTACTTTGTACAGAATTATTATAGAAAATAGCAAAAAAGCAGTATGTCATTAGAAATGATTTTAACGTTAGAAAACTGTCACGGAGCATAATATCACGAATACAACAACTTGTAAAATATGGCTCTGTGATTGGTTTACAAAATCTTAAGATTGTACTTAAAACAGTTTTAAATATAAGATCGGACTATATGAATACTGGGCTGTGTGTCCGTTTCTTGCTGTGTCCGATTGCAACCATCGTGTGTCCGTTTCTTACTGTGTTCGATTATCACTGTGTCCGATTGTTACTGTATCCGTTTCCTACTGAGTCCGATTCCTACTGTGTCCAATTGCAACCATCGTGTGTCCGTTTCCTACTGTGTCCGATTGGCACTGTGTCCGTTTCTTACTGTGTCCGATTATCACTGTGTCCGATTGTTACTGTGTCCGTTTCCTACTGTGTCCGATTAGCACTGTGTCTGATTGTAACCGCCGTGTGTCCGTTTCCCACTGTGTCCGATTGGCACTGTGTCCGTTTCTTACCGTGTCCAATTATCACTGTGTCCGATTGTTACTGTGTCCATTTTCTACTGTGTCCGATTAGCACTGTGTCCGATTGTAACCGTCGTGTGTCCGTTTCCTACTGTGTCCGATTGTCACTGTGTCCGAATTATTCTGTGCGCAACTGGGTTTCACTCTCTCTCGCTCGCTCGCTCGGCGCGCCGAACTTGACCGCGGCCGCAGCTAGTGTTATCGGACTCGGTACTATGTGGTAGCGTGTGGAAAAATAAAAGTAATATTTTTGTATAAATATTACTTTTATTTCACAATCGTTGCAAATACATTAAGATATAAACATGTCTAAATATGTACCAAATATTTATTTCACGTAGAAAACAATACATTACGTTTGTATATAAAATAGTTAAAAAATTAGTAAGGAACAAGAATAAATAAAAAATGAACGCGTGGTCGCCATGCGCGTTAGAAGTGAAACTTCTGAAGGCAAGGCTTTGCCATAACTTTTCTGAAATTAATAAAAAAACAATGCAATGGAATTAGTCACTCCAAGCCGCCCGCAAATCGAAAATATAGTGTTACACGCAGTTCTCACTATATCCGTCTCGCCAGTGCCGTACGCCTGATCAAATTTTCGTGACGCGTTTTCGAGTCGCAAAATCGAATTTACTTACCGATCCAAAAGGAGTTTCACTTTGTACGCCTGTTGGTCGAATTTTCGTGACACTATTTCGTGACGTTTTTTCGTGTCGCACAATCGAACTTACTACCGTACCAAAGAAGTTTCATTTCGTACGTTTATTGGTCGAATTTTCGTTACACTTTTCGTGTCGCATAATCGAACTTACTACCGTGCCAGAAGAAGAACGTCTTGCCAACGCCGTACGCCTATTGGTCAAATTTTCGTTACACTTTTCGTGTCGCACAATCGAACTTACTACCGTACCAAAGAAGTTTCACTTCCGTTACACTTTTTCGTGTCGCGAATCAAACTCACTACCGTGCCTAAAGAAGTTTTATTTCAAAAACAAAAAAATGGGCACAGTAACAACTGTGTCGCAAGCAACACGTAGAACTACGTCAACTGTCACTGATGATGAACTCGGCGCTACAGCCCGGTGTAGGCCTTGGTCTTCCTTGATCACGTCAATCAT